TGGGGATCGAACTCGGGTCCTTCCGCTTGCAAGGCAGGCGGCGGAACCACTGAGCTAAATCCCCGGCCCAAAGGTAAATAATTTAATGCAGACAATTTTCATACTTGAAGACCTAATTAAACTTATATTTCCTTGGGAATTAACAGCCTAAAACTTTTTATTTTATTTTGCTTTTTGTTTTTTGAGACAGGGTCTTGCTGTGTAGTTTAGGCTGGCCTTGAACTCATGGTGATCCCAAGTGCTGGGATTACCAGAGTGCACCACCATACCTGGCAAGCCTAAAACTTTTAGAATAATAGATTTGGCTTCATTTCTAAATTCATAACTACTCTAATTTTTTGTTTTCACTACTGCCTGGGAGCTTCTCAGATTTTTTCCATGATTTCCTGTTACTTGTAGCAGTATCCTGGCTTTTTAGCCCATTTAGTATTGTTTTTTTAAACAAATGTTGGCTCATATATTTTCTGTTTGCTTCTAAAACATGGCTACTGTGAAGCATTATTCAAAGCTGATGGATTTGGGATGGGGATTTTTTATTTTCCCTAACAGGAATTTGACAATTATGCAGAATGGGACTTGAGAGACATTGATTTTGTTGAAGATGACTCGGACATTTTACATGGTAATATTTTATCAAATGTTTATTGGTTACAAAAACATAATGACATTGTGTTGGATGCTGGGAATATAAGGATGAATAAAACATGTCCCCTGGTCACAAGAAATTCAAAACCTTATGGTTAAGTTTGGGAACTCACCCTTTTGTCTGGTTTTGACTACATTGAGTAAGATTTATGAAGATTATTGTTTTGTCAGAGGTACTCGGTTAAGTGGCCCTCACTTTAGAAGAAAGGGAAACAGTATGAACACATTGGGATTTCAGTAGCAGCTTTTGATTCTGAATGTTCACAATAATTTGTTACCACAAATTTCCAGTAGCAATGGAACTTCTTCAGGGGTTTTTAGACCAAATTGGGAACTTTTTGTTTCTTAGAACCGTTGAAGTTTTAGCACTTTTGAATCTTAATCTTAGATAACTCAGTAAGGGTTTATGTTAACTCTTGTTATAATTTAAATGGTGAATGCCACTTACAAGTTGTTAAAAGAGTGTGGTTAGAGTTGGGTGTGGCCCAGTAGTGGAACACAAGCTTTGTATGTATGAATCCCTGAGTTCAGTCTTCAGTATCAAAAAAATTAAATCATTAGACTTTTGTTGAGTCTGTTTTCTTCCCTCTCCATTTTCAGTGAACTTCTTATGTAAAATAGACCCCTGTCTTTTCTTTCATTGTAGTCCAGAATTAATTATATAATAGATCAATCATACTCTGGAAAGGCAAGTAGAATACTTGTTGAATTATATATCAACTCATTAACACATTGTGCTAATCGGTACTCTCACTAGAAGGGGAGCTTGATTCCTCTCTCCATAGCACAGCTACCTGGGTATTTGTTTCACCAGGCCCAACACAAAGAAAGAATTCTTTTAAAAGTTTTACTGTGACACATCTTTTTGAGCAAAATATTTTTTGCAAAATTTCATTCCTCTTTTTTTCCCACACAACTTCAAGGAAAGTCAAAGTGACGCAGATTGAACTAAAAGAGGAAAGCTTGAAAACAAACTACTTTAACATTCACTAGATCCATTGTATTTGTTCAGTCTTGCATGTCAATCTCTTCAACTCCACTGACTCATGCTCTCTTCTCACCTCTTGTGCTATTCCTTTTAAGGTAGTATACAGATTGCCATTCAGTATTTCTCTACATACACATATGCTTTAATTAAAATGGTATTGTTTTCTAGCTTTTATTTTTCTTGCCAGAATACCAGACTACTACTATCTGCAAGAAGGACAGCTTTGTAAATATCCTTTTAGATATTGTTGAAAATCTCCAATTTCAATCATGGCTCAACTATGTAAGGGACTTGCTGAATCATTTCTCTAGGATCTAATCTCAGGTCATCTGAACATTGTTAAGAAAACTATAATAATGGTTGGTATGTAATTTTGCTCTTCATTCTTTGCAGAATCTAGATTTGCAGTTTCTTGTGCATTTGTACTTTCTGTCATGATGTGGGGATAAAAATAATCAGAAAGAAGCAATTGATTAATAATTTTTAACTCAGTTAACTTTTCAGACCTATAACCTACTTTATCTGTGTTCTTTCTACAGTTTCTATTTTGTTTTGTTTTGTTTTGTTTTTGGTGCCAGGGATTGAACTCGACCTTGTGCTTGCGAGGCAGGCACAGTACCACTGAGCTAAATCCCCGGCCCTCTTCCTACAGTTTCTACAGTGTAGTAGATTACTGATTTTCATTAAACCAGAACTGAAGCATCAGTTATTAATCCTTATTCATAATTTCAACACAACATAATAATCCTTTCCCCCGGCCCAACAGTGAACTGTAAGATATTTAGATGTCTTTAAAAAATAACATTTTACAGAGGTTTGGCAGCACTGGAGTGCAGGAGACAAGCTTGCTAGGAATGACTAACTGGAGAGGGCAAACAGAGATTAAAGACACAGTTACAGAGATAATTTAGAATGAGGGGACCAGGGGCCTCTTCCCTCTAGTGCACAAAGAGCCCTGAGCATTTGGCTCACCTCACTTTTATTCACTTAGACAAGGGAGCAAGCACTTAGGTTAATGGAAGATTCATCTGCCTCTTGTTACCCAGGTAAACATCCTGGTATTCACTATTCTCTGGAAGAGGTATTGACTCTTCTCTGGAACTTACAATGTGTTAGCATGCCTGCATGTTGCCAAATAAGAAACAGCTTGCTGTTTTTCTCTTTTGTGTTCACAGAGGAGGTCAGTTAGGTCTTGATCCTCATTATCTGGTCTCCTGCACTAGAGGTCAAAGGGACATGGTGTCACAGAGATGGCTTTATTTGTGGTTTTGAGTTCTTCTAGTAGCTCTTTGGGCAGCATGACCCATGACCAGATGTGAGGCCTCTGAGCAGTCTATCCAAGAATACTCTGTGAAGGGGACCAGGAGTCCAAGGATATTCAAGAGAAGGAGCTTTTAGGTATCCCTGGCTCAGAAAGAGGCCTACAGATTCACTGGAAATCAAGACACTGATTCAGCCTCAGTCTTACTTCTGAGTCAGTGTGTAGTCTTTAGCAAGTCCCTGGAATCTTGCTTGCCATTTCTTTGTGTCCCCTGCCAGTAAAAAAGGGATGACACTGATTAGTCAGAGTGTGAATGTCTCCATTAAAAGATGGTACACAATTGAGATTGGTGTTACTACTGTTGCTGTATGCCATTATACTCCGTATTACTGAACATTAATATTCCTTTTATATTCCCTCACTTATAACTACTGGGAGGGAGCAGACTGGCTGGTTTCTGTATTTGGAAGCCATCTAGAATATTGGATGATGTCACCCAGCCCTGTTCCTTAACCAAAGATTTTTTGCTTTGATTCGTGATATTTGTTGAATAGAATTGGCTTACATGGTTCATTAAAGGCAGGCACGGTGCAACTGAGCTAAACCCCTGACCCTCTTCTCCGATTTTTTTTTTTGGTACTGGGGATCGAACTCAGGTCCTTGCGCTTGAGCGGCAGGCGGTGGAACCACTGAGCTAAATCCCCGGCCCTACATTGTTCATTACAGAGGCCTGGGATACATTAGAAGGATAACGAATTGTATTCCAGCTATATAAAAAGGGCTTTCAGAATGGGGCCAGAAAGGGCACTGCAAATATAGCAGTGTCTGAGAGGGGGAAAAACAGGAACTTCTGGAATCACTAGATGGCCTTTTCTTCCATTTTATTGAAATAAACAAGTAACTGTTTCAGAAGTAGAGATGAAGAAGATTCCTAACTTGGAGCTCTCCTGTCTTCTGGTATTTTATGAGATCTCAGTTAGATGCTTAATGTAGTTTACTCTTGCTCATGTCTGTTTTCCCTTCTCGTTTCATTTGTGAAGCCCCCCGTAAATTTATGTACTATTCTTTACCTGAATTTCTTAGGGTCTTAAAATTCTGAGTGTACCATCTTTCTAGTCATTGTTGTTCCATAACCCAGGCAAAAGATGTACTAATAAACTTCTCCTATGTGCTGAGTCTGTATTTTTTACATTTTTTTTCCTGAGTCTGTATTTTAAGCACTTCTCAGAATTACATATTTAATATGGTTTACACTCCTGTATTTGAAATGCTAATTTCAGCAAGGTTTCCCTGCCATTTTTCAAACAATATTTGTTTGGCCCATATGTCCACCCTTTAGACCTTTGAACACTTAGGAAATCAGACATCCTATTTGGTCTCTTTGTATTCAGCTCTTGGTAGTGCCTTTCATTTTATAGGGAACTAGGTGTTTTATGCGTAAGACATTTTAGACTTAACTACTATTAAGAATAACTAATCCTTATAGCCTTTACTGTTTGCCAGGTGCCATTTTCAGCCCTTTACATATATGAAGTCATTTAATCTTCACAAACTGTATGAGTTGTATTGATATTCCCATTTTACAGATGAGGAAATTGAAGCATAGAAGGGTCAATAACTTGCCTGAGGTCATATAGCTAGCAAGTACAGATCCATTCCCAGATTCTCTTTGTTCTTAATCCTGTGTAACATTCACTGTCTTTTATCCTTAATTTTTGTTGCTGTTTCTTTTTTTCTTTCTGGAGGGTAAGGGGGTGAGGTTTCACATTTGTTATCTTCTGTAACTTCACATTCTTGAGAAAAAGGAAAAGATATTTTCCCATGTTACGTTTAGAGAAATATGCAAAGAAGTTAAGTAATTTGCCTTAGACTTCCTAGTTGGGTGACTTTTACCTTTAGGCCACATGGACTTCTTCCCTTGACAGAACTATTTGTGTGCATCTTGGCCAAAAGCTTAGGGTGGGAATGACTTTTTGAAAGCTTTGCTTCTGGGGAATACCAGATCACAGGTTTGTGCTTTTGCAGTTGCAGTAGGGATTTTGATTGGCCTCTCTGCAGTTAAGGCCTCTGAGTTGATTTTCTTTCCAAGCAAGAAGTAAGTGCCTTCTGTCAAGAAAACAAACATGTTGCCAGCTATTTTGAACAATGTTAGAAATACATTGCAGTGGGAAGGAGCTGCCTCTGTCTTCTGCCCACTTCTTGAAATATTTTAAGGCCAACCGTTTGGAAACTTTTCTTAGGGGACTAAGAAAATTCCCCACTGTAATCTCACGGAGTCTGTTCTTCCCCCTCAAAGCTAAGAATTCAGAGGCCTTGTATAAGTGGATAGGTTATGGCTAGTTTTGGTTTGTTCATCTTTAATGATCCCTCATTCTCTGTTTGGCAGCTTGTCCTGGAGCTTCCTAGTTGCTTTAGTAGACTCTGAATCCAGTGATTCTCATCCTTGTAGTGTCTCCCTTCTCCTTTCATTTCTGCCTGCTGTGCTGTGGTCCCCCCGGTTTATTCATATAGTTAAGATCTTGTAAGCAGTTGCTGCTGTCTGAGTGTGTGCTTTATGAAGAAAAGAAGATGCAGTAGTTTCAAATGTGAATTTTCTCTGGAATAATTCTATTTCTCTTCTCATTTGCTTCTAGTTTCCTACCTTTTGCCCTCTAGAGTCAGTTATACACGTTTAAACTACTGAAATGATCAAGCAGTAGAACCAGTCATTAGCAGTATGTAGTACTAGATTTTTTTGGTAATACAATCTCTTCAGGGTTTTTTTTCTTTTTAAGTAAGTCATTCTCACACCAATCTCAGGAAACAGTATGATTAAGGTAGTGCCTTGCAAAAATTACAGAAATCCTTTATTAAAGTTAGTAGTACTTTGCACTGGGTCTTCAAAACTTTTTTTTATAGTACTGGCAATTGAACCCAGGGCCTCATGTAAGCTAGGCAAGCACTGTACCACTGAGATGCATTCCCAGCCCAACACATTTCTATTGAATTTATTGGATAGATAAATGAAATAATGCGTATAAAAAGCCCAAAACATGAGAAGTTCTCAAAGTATTTAAGCTATTGTTATTACATTTGTTTCCTTTCCTGCATTGAATTGTTGACTTCCTAATTCTTCCTTTCTTAGAAGTATTAAAGTCCAATATAAAATTTGTATTTGGTTATACTGTATTATCAGAGATGCTTCCTCTCTTCCCTCTTCCTACTGACCTGCATGTCTTTCTAACTAGTACATAACTGTTGTGTAAACAGAGGCAGAGTATGGGATATTCTGTGATATCAAGACTTTTATATGGAATAGCCCCATGATTTCATTTATAGACAGAGTTAGCCACTTAAAAATGAATTTGAGAGCTGGGGACTTGGCTCAGTGGCATCGTTCCTGCCTTGCTAGCGCAAGGTACTGAGTTCGATCCTTGGTACCAAAAAAAAAGAATTTGAAGAGGATGGAAATGTAGCTCAATCATAGAGTGTTTGCCTAGCATGTGTAAGGATGTGGGTTCAATCCACAGCACAGCCAAAAAAAAAAAAAAAAAGGGGTTTAAGGACTAGGCTAAAAAAGAAAAGGCAGGGGGGTGTAACTCAGTGGCACCGCGCCTGCCTGGCAAGTGCAAGATCCTGAGTTCGATCCCTGGTACCAAAAAAAAGAAAGAAAAGTTTAAAAGCCATTGCCTTAAATCTTTAAAGGATCTGATCTGACAATATTGAATTATTTTTCATTTGTTGGCAAATGAATGAGGAAAAATGAATCAATGTTGAATCCTTGAATTTGTCAGGAACAAACAGAACCCATGGTAGTGAAATTTTTAAATACTTAAACTTTATAAAATATTGCATTCACTTACCTCCAAATTATCCAGCCAAGATTTAGGTTATTTATTTATTTTTATCTCAGAGGCCCAGGAAAATGACCTGAATAAAGTATTTCTAGACATCTCTCAGTGATTGAAGTTACATTTATGCATGGCATATCCTCTCATAGCCCAGGATGTAAGACTTTGGTATTGACCCTTTTAATCTAAAAATATCCTAAGGGCAAGTAGCAGTGAGATACACAGTAATGAATCAGTATGGAGTGTCCAGAATTTCTTCATGTATAATCTTGCTAGGACTATTACAGTGACTATTTGGGATCATACATTGCTCAACAACTTGCTTTTACATAACAGTATAAACTGGTGATTCCTTGTATGTGTGTATGGGGGCGGGGTACCACGTATTGTTGAATCCAGGGTTTTCACACTGAACTACAGCCTCAGTCCTTTTTTATTTTGAGACGGGTGACAAAGCACTGTTATGCTCTCTAGAGCCTCTTTCTTCTATGAGCACATTCAGCAATGAAAACAAAGGAAAAACTCCAAACTGTCAATTTACAAAAAGCTTAAAAAGATAATTCATTAATGTAGCTTCCTTATTTATTGAAATTATTAAATTTGTTGTTGTTGTTGTTACCACCGGAGATCGAACTCAGGACCTTGTGCTTGTGAGGCAGGCGCCGGAACCACTGAGCTAAATCCCCAGCCCTGAAATCATTAAAATTTAAAGTACTTTCAGAATGTATAGGTGAAGCCAGGGATTTAGAAGGAGTGGTAGGAAACAAAATGAAAGGTAGGAAGTATCAAGACAGTAAAAGGTTTTATATAACATCTAAGAGTTTGAACTCTTTTTAAACAGTTGGAAAGCCATTGAAAAATTAAAAGCAGAGGAATTACCATCACATTGTGCCATAAAATAATACTCTGGTACCATTTGGAGGAGTTTAGTTGGAGTAAGGCAAGAATGGAGTTAGTAGGTGTAATGATGCCTTCCCTACAGGGTGGCATTAAGATGACAAGAGAGACAGGAATGGGATTAGAAGATGGAATTGAAGAGATGAATTTGAGAGTGTTTAGATAAGATTCACTGAGCTGGGTTAGGTGCATGCCTGTAATCTCTGTTGCTAGAGAGACCTGAGTCAGGGAGATCAGAAGTTTGAGGCCAGCCTGGACAATTCAGCAAAAGAAATTGTCTCAAAATAAAGTCTGGGGATGTAGCTTGGTGGTAGAGCACTTGACTAGCATATGTGAAGCCCTGGGTTCAGTCCCCAGTGCCTGGGATGGTCGTGGGGACAACCCACTAACTGAGTCTATATGAAGACAGGAGAAGGGATGAACCCAGGTTGATTTTTGTCCAAGATAAGAGTTTTAGAGGATGGAAAATGTGTAGAATACAAGTTTGCAACTGAAGGCTCTGTGAATAGAGATATCCAAAATAATCTGGAGCTTAAAATAGAACTGAGATTATATGGTTTGATAATACTTGGAATCATAGAAATGGATGAGTTTATAAGAAAAAGGCGAGGAGTGAAAAAAATGAGAACAGAAGCCTTAGAAGAAACTCTGAAGATGGATGAAGAGTGGCTGGGGAAAGAAAAAACCAGAACTATTACATTAATTAAAACTTTTCCTATCCATTGCCTTTCTTTTTTATTGAACATGAAAGTAAAGTGAGGAAAGGATTGAAACATGGGCAGCCAAGCAAGGCATAGATTTTACATTGGTTAGATTATTTAATGGTGCTTTTTATTATAGAATGCAAAATTCTACACCCGAAACAGTTGCTGCTCCTGAAGTGGAAACTCCTGCTTTGGGAAAATTTCTGTGTCACACATTTGTTTTATCTTAATGTTGTCTCTTGAGCTCACTGTTGTGAACTTCTAATACAATCAGCATTTATTTTGGGGCTGAGGGTTTAACTCGATGATAGAGCACTTGCTTAGCATGCAGGAGGCCCTAGGTTCTATCCCCAATACTACAAAAACCAAACAAAAACAACATTTTTATGACTACTCTACTTCTAGCATATCCATTTATTACTAAAGTTCTAATATTCACCGTGTATAGTAGTATACATAGTAAATGTCCAAAAGAGGTGTTTAGTAGAAAGTAGATATTGTAATATGCAAAGAAATGCCATATAATCAATACATGAGGAAAAAGAACTTCATTTATAGTTTACTAAGAGGAAGTCAGTATGGTAGGATATTTTTATGCCTACAATAGACATATTTCCTATATTAGTGTGGAATAAGCTTCAGAATTTGTGTTAAAGATATTTTTGTCTTGGCTTTGTTTATATTATTTTTATATCTTTATCATTTATCCATATGTATTTGTAGCTCTGAAGATGGCTGTGGTAGATATCTATCATTCCCGGCTAAAGGAGAGACAGAGACGGAAAAAGTAAGTAGAAAACCATACTGCCTTCTTTCATTTTTGGACTACTGATCACATATAGTACATAAGAACTCTCCACTTTTGGCTCGTCTTGTGACCTTGGGGAATGACACTCTTTTTGAGCTTCAAGTTTTCTTTCTTTCCTTCTTTCTTTTTCTTCTTTAGAGATAGGGTCTCTCTATAGTTCAGGCTGGCCTTGAGCTCACTGTGTATCCCAGGCTGGTCTCGAACTCATGGTGATCCTCTTGCCTCAGCCTCCCAAGTGCTGGAATTACAGAAGTGAACCACCATGCCTGACTCAAGCCTCAAATTTTTCCACTGTCAAATAAGGATAATAATTTCTGTCTTATTTTTACTTTTTTCCTTACTCTTTGTTGATGTTCTGGTGAATAATAAGCAGTGTGGATAGGCTGTTTAAGATCTTTGGAAAAAAGGAACAAGATCTATTTAAAGTGGTGGCGTACTTTTTTTTTTTGGCACTGGGGATCGAACTCAGGACCTTGTGCTTGGGAGACAGGCAGCAGAACCACTGAGCTAAATCCCCGGCCCTGGTGTACTTTTTTTTTTTGTATTAAATTCTTTTATTGGTACATTGTAGGTATACAACACAATTACATTTCTCATTGGGAATTGTACCTTTACATAA